AGGGATAATGGAATAGAACTGGCCCGGTACCCTGCAGCCAAAAAGGTCTTTTTTTTTTGTAGTCTGCAGCTTAGGAGGCAAGTAGAAACGTTTGAAGTCGTGGGGGGCAGGGAATGATCTATGCCGAAAAAGCTTGAGGGAAAATGGAAGAGAACAGGCCTCATACCCTGCAGCGAAAAAGAAGGCTTTTTTTGTGTGTGATTTTTTTTTTTGTCCGTTTCCTTGGTGTGGTTTGTCCGTGGTTGCGTTGGTGTGTGACAGCCGAAACAAGTGTCCGTTGAAGTGAACAATTTCCGAGCAGCCGGAACAAGTGTCTGTTGAAATGGACAATTTTCGGTCCCTTCTACCCACGTGAAAGCTCCGCCCGTGCCTGTACTCTGGGGTCCCTGTTTTCTTTTACGGCCCGACGGGAGCGGGCCCAGCTTTTTCGTTTCTTTTACAGATTCTGGATGCGTAAGTAGTGTGGGATCAGACTCTAAGGCTTCTCCGTCAAATGCTGCTTTGCCTTGCTACCACCTTCCCTTCTTCCACTCTGACTGACGGCGGAACCAAGACCCTGTGGCTACGACCAAGCCTAGCTCAGTCGGTACACCCCCAAACTCTTGAAATACAACCCCAGTTCGAATCCATCCACCATCAGATGACCAGAATACACCCACAAACTCTTGAAATACAACCCCAACCCCAGTTCGAATCCATCCACCATCAGATGACCAGAACAAAATACTACGGTCTTCCCCTGAATATAACGCACTCTAAAAATGAACGTAAGCCGTCTTTCCGGTCCAATGCAGTCAAAATGAGGGTGTGTTGTGTTTGAGGGAAGACCGGGCCCGTCATCCGTTTTGAGAAAGAGAAGAAAGAGAAAGAACCGGCCTCTCACGTCACTTCTTGCAATGGATACAATTCCGATAGGAGCTCCTTCTACGGCAAAACCTCCCTGACAGTTTTTTTTTTCTTTTTTTTTTCCCTTTTTTCTGACAGTTTTTTTTTTCTTTTTTTTTAATTTTTAAAAAAGTACTTGAATGAGGCCGGGAATCCCTCAACATCTCAACCGGGTAGTAAAGCTTGTGCTGGAAACCGGGTCCAGCGTCCCGTGGTCTGCAACTCCAAAGAAAGTAAGCAACTGGAGCAAAACTTGTAGGAATCTAGAATATAAAGGGAGAAAAATAGCCAAGAACTACTGAAGAATTCATATTCCGGGTCTCCTGCTAATCTGTCTGGGAGCCTTACCCAGCTTGGCTTCAAGATCTTACAGAAAAGGGACCAAGTACAGATCTGTAAACTTAAGGAAGCCTGAACCGCCTAGACGGGTTTCCCACCACGTACCCTTGGATCTTCAGTGACAATATCATTCAAGGGACCAAGATCACTATGGGTACAGTTCAAGTTTGCTTCCTCCCCTATTTATGCTAACTACAGTGAAGGAGAGTTCCCACCACTGACAGTAGCACTCACACTGCCTCCGTAGTGCCGCTACCCATACAACCTTATTCGGTTATTGTGAGTAGATTCCAAAGACTGCGTTTTGAAAGCGTTAAAAACACATAGAAAAGCAAAACACCAAGATCTATATCTGATCAACAAGACCAAATATGCTGTTAAAGACCTGGGAACCAAGACAAAGTCATGCACTTGCTAGATGCTGTCACCAACAAAATCCCTGATCTCCATCAGGGCTATTCTCTCATTCTGGCTTTCCAAACACCCTGTAAAGAGCCCCAGCTGCCATGATGGGTTTCCCACCATGCTCCCTTGGATCTTCATGGCATATTGATCACAATGGGAACAACTCAAGTTTGCTCTTCACCGGTTCTCACTTACCACCTGACCAGTAGCATTCCCACCGCCCCTCGTTGCACTCACACTGCTCCAGCTGGCGTCGCTGCTAGTAGTTCCAAGAGTTTTCCCCTGAGTCACTCTAAAAACTGCGTTCCTGTCCTGATCGTAGGGTGCAACATTAAGCAGAGAAAAAAGAACTCCTTAAAGTTGGTGCAAGTTTGAAACGAAAAGATCTCAATTTTAGAGGAGATGAGAGGAGAAAAGTGCCCTAAAAGAAAAGCAAACCACCTAGGGAATAACGTGGAGTAAGTGTGCGGCTGAAGACGCGAGGGCAGGTAGGTGGTTCCAAGTGGGACTTGATGTACGGTGATGAACAAGTAAGGGAGTGGAGATGGAGTGTAGGGGGAATTCAGAGTGAAGAAGGAATTGGAGGTGGAGGATTCGACGAATGGAAGGTAATGCTGATGGGGGAGTGGCACTGTGGCAGTGTTAGCAACGGGTGACGGGATTGGAGAACAGTTGTGTGAGACGGGAGGGTAGGTTGAGTCTACAGGGGAGCAGATAGGGTCGGGGAGAGAGGCTTAGTCTGCAGGACTGAACGGAGACGGAGTACAGTGTAGGTGAGGGCAGCTCGTGAAATGAAGAGATGATTAGTGGAAACAGGAGGGGAAAACAGGAGAGGAAAACAGGAGGGGAAAAGAGGAGGGGGAAACAGGAGGGAAACGTCTTGGGTTAATAAAATGGCTAGATTAGGTCATTTAAAAACGAGAGGAAAAAGTATGGAAACTATAGGGAGGGGACAAGGGGAATGTGGATGGGTACTCGGGTGAGATTCAGAGAGTGGGCGGAGTTGCCGGAGGGGAAGAAGTCAGGGGATGAATGGGTCAGAATTTCAAGTGATTAATAGAGGGTAATAATGGTGGGGGAAGGCAGAGTTAGCGCTGGGTGAAGGGATTTGAGTTAGGGATTGAGTTTCACAGAAGATGAGGGAAAAGATTTATCGTGTTGATGCCTATGCAGCCTAGAATTCTATCTATGTTGAATACAATAATCCACCAAGAGCGGGATATCCAACAACACTAGAAAAGCGAGGTATGAAGGACAGACTACGCCTGAAAGTTCACTTGAGCAAGATACACCAAGAAATTAGGAACCTACGCTAGAAAACGTGTGCTAAGCACTAGAACCCTGTGGATGTCAAGGAACAAGGCATATTAACCTAGTAGGCAAAGCATGATGAATGAAGCCAGGAGGATTCTACACTACGTCTGCAGTGTGTGTAAAAGTAAGTGGGAAAGTGGCCCTGTCAAAACAAGCACCGTTAACGCTCATACTGCCACCAGATTGACTCCCACTCCTCCTAGCAGCAGCATCAATAGTGGCGCCGTTAGTGTTTCCCGCCATATTGTAGATAAGTAGGACGATCGGGCCAACACAACAGCCACCGTTAACGTTCCCACTGCTGCCAGTTGGGCTCCCACTCCTCCCAGCAGCATCGTCAACAGTAGCGTCTTCAGCGTTTACGGCCATCTTGTAGGTTCATCTTGTAGGTTCGTCATGGAAATCATGGTGGACGGTTGAGGGTGAAAGGTACAATGCATGGAAATGGTAAATGGTACGGGCTGTGTAGGGGCCACCAGGATGCGGCGGCCACTGAGCACAAAGGCGCTCCCTCCACCACTCAAGAAGGAGGTGTGACCGTGCACTTTTTCCCGGGTCATCGCCATACCCTAGGACCTGGTGGGGTGAGCTACACGATGAAGATGTCTCGTCCCTCCGGGCGTCGCTTTGCTCTTGACAGGTAATTTTCACAGCATCCACCAACCTCAATATACTGTGACGCCCAAACCTCCCGCCCAGCGCGACTTCCTGATCGGAGTGGGATGGGGGCCCGGAAGTGCGGAAAAGGGGGTGTGCCAAGGATTTTAGGATAGTGGGGGTGGAGTTCCAGGTCAGAACTGAAATCTCCCGTGGCAAGCCTTGGGGGCAGTCATGCAAGATAGTAAGTGCGAACCGCGTCCGATTTGTATGCCCTGGGGGACGTCATCACCATCCCCACGAGCTTCGTTGCCGAGGCCGGACTCGGATTTGGTGAACCAGCGGAACGCTATGTGTGTCGCGTTGCCTAACCAATCGCCTGCGTTGCTCGTGACACGCCTCCGAGTCGGACGAAGCAGGCCTCAAGCGCAGACTGTGTGCTCGCTGTTCGGCCTCAGTCCGGGTTCGTCGAACGAACCCCGCGGCTCGGTACTCGCTGTCATGCTGGCACTCAGAGCACGGGGTTCGAGGCCAGTAGGGGGCGAGCGCGTGCCACGGGGCTGCCGTCAGGCAGTGAAAAGGCAACACGAGGCAGTAGGGAGCGAAGTCTGTCTCAATGATGACGACACCGGTTCGACGAAGACGTGGCTTACGTGTGAGCTGGGGAACTGAGAGGGGAAGGGGATCGCACTTAGGGCCCGTTCAATGTCCCACTCACAAACGCGTTCGTTTCCTGTCCGAAAGGGGAATTTTGGAGGGTTGGGGTGGGGTTGTGCAAGAAGACAGACGTTTTCCCACTCCCAGTATTCTTTGAACCGGCGGTGTCTCAGGCTTTCCCGATCCGTGATGTGGAAGGGAGTCCTATCATCCATGCTATCGGACTTTGGCTCGTTTGGACATGGACTCGAGCGCGGGTCTGGCAGACGCGCGTGTAGGCAATGTCCGTTTCGACCCCCCTCTGATTCTTGTGCATAGCGGCACATCGCACTCCCACGGGGTACCCAAAATCCTTGATAACACAACCCAAAAATTCCCAACAGTCGGCACGGTTACGCCGGTTAGTACATTCCAAAATCAAATTCTGATCATAACTCCCTTGAAAAATTTTC